ACGTGAATACTTTGGTCTCTAGACTAGACAATAATCCTTATTATAAACGAGGTACAGTAATCTTAATTTATTATTGTTACTATTTCCTCGGCTTCGGAGTGGAGCAAGGACTTCAGCAGCACATCTCTATTTCACCCTGTTCTTTTCTCCACGATTGACCATAAACTTTCATTTCCTCATCCTCTACGATCTCCTCCATGTCAGCCTCCGACCTATACCAACACTCCAGGGCCTACCTTGCTCGTGATGTCACTCGAAAATCTTCTCATCCTGTGTCCAATAGGTCTCTATTTCTTTCGGTATATTTGTTGGGCATTGGGTTGTTGGTTGGTTCTTTGCCAGGTATCCTTGTTGTTAAACCATTCTGGCTAGCCATCTTATCGTAACTATAAAATGGAATCAGTTATCGATAAGGGTCTACAGTTAGGAGTGATTTTGTTGACGCCACACACACACACACCATATCTCTGAAACATTGACTTGACATTAGTGTTGAAGATCCAAATCTTGTTCTTTCTGCAGAGTAGTGAAGTAAATTTCCACACTGATTTCAGATTAATAAAGGTCTGTCTTGTCTTTCTGATCCTTGCTGGTTTTGACGTGCTCATTTGTGTGGCTTGTTGTTGAATTCCTTCTATAGATAGCGATTATTGGTGCTTGTAGTTGTTGGTTAGGTATCTTCATCGCCTCTGCCTTCTCTATGTTCACGTAAATGTTTATATAGTTTAATAAAAATTCTTATCGAAACATATTTTAATGAAGTTATATAACTTGGTGATAAAACAACCACTCTGGATGCTCAAAGGAAAGACATTGACAATTTGCAATCCTTTCTTTGTTTTCTGCCATTGCGTGTTACTTGGTGTCAGATTACTGAATAGGTCTTCAGAAGAAAAGAATTGTTCGTTTAGTCTTTTTCGAGAATTTCGCTACAGTCAAATCTCGCAAAAAGGCTTACCCTTTTGATGGTAATCATTGGTCCTTCACTTCACTGTTATCAAGGTGACCAAACTTTTCTTTTAAGACTGTTTTACTTACTATTATTGTATAAAATAACGTCATTCTATACTTCACAGATGCTCATCAGCTACACACTACTCTACATTATAATGGAATGAAAATAATATCTGCAATGTGAGAGAAAATGTTACAAATTAAAGTATTCAAAATGTACAACAACCTTTTTTCAGTTTAATCTTATCATCAATTTATATGCAGCATTTCAAGGTAGATAACGAATGGGGCAGGAGAAGACAGAAAACAAAAATAAAGTTAGCTTATGAAGTTACGCAATAACGTGACAAAATCATATTTTTAAGAGATTGTATTTAGCTCATTGTTATCCTCCCACTCGTTTTCTTTTAATACTTTGAAATGCATATAAATCGATGATGGCTTGGACTAAAAAAGGTTGTGATACGTACATTTGGGATGCCTTAATTTATAACATTTTCTCTGCTCTGTCATCACATTCTAACATTGAAGTATGCTATTTCCATTCATTTTTTATAACACTTGTAATTTCTGATAGTTGTCTGCAGTTTATGAGAACCTGTGAACTAGAATGAAGTTATTTTATGCTGCTCTATTTCGTCTTTATTGCTTTGTCAGAACGTATCAATGGAACCACGTGTATTAAACTTACTATTAAATTAGGCTCGTTCTTACTGTTTCTTTAGTACACAAGAATATAGGACTGATTATTCGATACTGTTCCCTTCACACTCAGAAATATACAGAAGGCCGACTGAGAAGACAATGATTTAATTGCTCCAGGGAGAGGCTAATATAACTAGAAATTACAGCTAATTATATGATTATTTCACACGATTAGTAAATCACTAGTTTAAGAAGTGAAAAAAGAAGCTAAGTTTTGACTGGTTCGGATGTATCAATAAAATTCAATGACATAACCTTTAATCTATGTTGTAATCAAGAGCGTTTGGTTTATACATCACGTGGGAAATATTGAATCATAATATATTCCGCCCTCTCCGAACACTTGATTTTACATATAAATATTGGTGCTACAGGCAAAGACCTGCCTAAATGTTTTGTAAACTAATCACTTTATCACCGATCTGAATTATCCTGACAAATAAGTGAAGGATAGATGGATTTTGTAACCCACCAGATAGTCGGAGTGCGTTGGTGGTTCAATTGTAAAGTGTTCACCAGTCATGCATGTGGTTTGGGTTTCTGCTCCTGGCTGTCAGCCCACTCCTAAACCTCGCCCAGCTTACGAACCAATAGTAAGCCCGGTAAAGAGGAGAGATTGGGGCCAACAATCCCTCCAGGAGAAACAATACCACCGCTACCAAAACTCCAAAGCTCTAGCTTGAAATCTCATGCTGCACTTTGAGTGCAGAGGAGTCAATGATTGATAACCAGATAGTTGGTAGTGCTAGGTAGAAATCTTAGGGTAGAGTATGAAAGTAGATCTTACTTTTGAAATCTGATATTATTCTTATGAATTTTAAAATGTTCTATGTGGCTGCACAACAAGGAACTCCAATCTTTAAATACAAAAATGTAGAACGCGTATTTTATGTGTGTACACCCACTGAGGACTATTCTACATGATCAGAAAGTAAATAGCTGACATATCTAACATTTTCTACTGAACACGTGCAGTCAACCGTCATCTGAATTTTAGGGAATAATGTTTTGTTTCTTCACATAATATCTGGGTAGACATGTGATATAGTCAAACATTTTTGGTCATTTAGTGTCGCTTGTCATTTACGTATGAAATAAATTTTTCTTCATGTGTATACTAGATTGTCAACTACCTAATATGCACTAAAGCTTTTGATGCCACCATCATTTCAATATTTAAGATGGGATGGTATTCGAATGCGAACTGCTTGTCGTTATAAAGTACAATGCCTAAATCAGTAAACTGCACCTCAGTTGTAATCTGAATTGTTTACGGTTAAGGTGTGAGTAAACTCTGATTTTAACTATAAAAGGAACATAGGTTTCACCAAAGTTTGGCGAAGTAGCTTATAGATGATTGTTGAAAGGCGTGAAACCTAGATCCATAGCTTCGTTTCTATTGATTTCTAACATGTAATATCAGTGAATCAACTAAAGACTCGGTATACAGGCCTGTCGACTTCATATACAATTTGTTTAACACAAGAAACTACGACAACGAACCAACCAAGAACCTGCTGCGCGACGAACATGCAGAAAGGAAAACATCGAGTGACGTCTCTCTACATGCCGTCAAGTAGCACTCAAATGGGAAACGACGAGTCGACCGTGGGTCTGAGAATGACATGGAGGAAGTCGTGTGGAAGCTGATTGTGGAACCAGCAGAGAATGGAACGAAATGATGTGCTGTTGTGAAACTTTATGTTCTACTCGGGACCCAAGTGTTTTGCATAGTAGAAAGAGACAGTTAAGTAAAAAAAAGTCGTCGAAATATCGAACACTCAACGTTGACTGAGTGATTGAATCGCCTTCAAGTCCATGGAGTGCGTAGTTCTATAGCATAGGAAAGAATAATCAATCAACTAGAGAAATATGTAGTTGGATGAATTGAATGCAATTCATTGGGAGAGTGAGACCATGTGTTATCGATGTTACCGATACAAGGTGCGAAAACGTGTTCACTTTTGTCACAGATTGTGCAGTACAACAAATATCACCGTTAACTAGTGTGTGGTGTATGCATTTTGGCCGTTTTTCAAAAAGCTTACAGATCTTCACACTTCTGAAATACATTCCGTTATCATTTTTGTGGCGCAAACAACACTGAATATTTGACTAGAATCAGTTTTCAGGTGAGTGAATAGTGCTTTTGTGTGACACATTTCAACTATCATGTCTGATAATAAATGAGTTCACAATCCCGTTAGTTGATTTATCTTTCCTGCTACATTAAATACGTTCTACGTTATTCTAAAGATGTAGAGATTGTAATCGTTACTCATTGCTCTTTTTACTTCAGTTAAAATGTCTGATTATGTGGTTTTAGAGATAGAATTAAATTTACTCAACATATTGTATCTAGTGGTACGTCGACAGTTCAGAGGTAGAATATAAACCAGCCACGTCCCACGTAGTCTGTAGTTCGATTCCCGGCCGACGAACGCATAAACCTCACTTTGCCGGTAGTAAGTCCGGTAAAGAGTGAAGGTTAGGCGTAAGACCAGCAACCCCACCCCGTAAAAGAAGCACTACAATTCTTTCTGAAACTTCAAAGCTCTTAGGTTGAAGTTCTGTGCTCCACTCAGAAAGCAAAGTAAGGGAGAAAAGGGGATTGTATATCTAGTAGAATACTGGTAAGTGTCATTTCCTTTTGTATGTTGGGATTTAGAGGATATTGGCGCAAATCTGATCTGTGGTGACCATATTTCACGGTAAATATGGTCTAAATCCGTCTAAACTTTTAATTTGATGAAAGTGTCAGTGGACGTTCGTTATTCCCCTCTCTGATTGGTTGATAGTCATAAATCATATTTACTAGTCTCTTGTATAGTTGTTATAACTGTTAAATATTCCTTTTTGCTATTTTATTTTATTTATTGATCTTGAGATTATTATTTTGAGTTGTCTTCTTTTCACCCTCCTTTTTCCTCACATCACTCACTCCATATTCTTTCATTCTTTATCCCTCACTCTCTACATATGCTCGAAACGAATTTATTGGTAAACAAACAATTGAAACTGGTTACGGTTTGTTTGCATGCTGTAACATACTCACTTATCTATTGATTGTTGTTCTCATTGTATATACACAATGACTACTAATCATCATTTGTCTTCGGTTAATTTTTTGGGTTTCTGGTTCCCACCCCCGCTTCTGTGCCTTATTATTTGGCTGATACTATTAACCAATTTATTTTGTTTCCTGCGTATTGTGCACTTGAATGTTTTGCATGTGTGGGGTTTGCATTTTGCCACTATTATACTCTTGTTTCTTCTCCCTACTACTTAACTCTTCTACCCATCATATAATATAATATCTACTTTCTATTCCACACATCTAGTTCATCATTCAACCGTATAATGATCATAATCAGCAACAGCAGCAGCAACAACAAGAAGAGATTTTACGCATTACTCAGTGTTAAACTTCTTTTATTCTCCATTTCGTTTTTATAATCCCTACATTTTTCTTTTCCGTTTCACTCCTCATTTTTTTTGACAATTTATGTGCGTAGTTTATTCGCAGTGGTTAAGCACTATTTCTCTGAAGCTGAACAGTGTAATTGTACATTAAACAAAAAGTCATTTGAGTATGACAACAACAAAAAAGAAACATGTATTAGCAAATAAAAAAATATCTAGGTTTCTTTTTAATTTCGAAATAATAATAATAATATTGTATAGTTCGCTTAAATCTGCAGTCTGTGTATAAATCAGCGAGCGATCTTTGCTAGTTGTAATAGTACACTCAGCGAATTCAATCTCAGGACACATACACTCACAGAAAGTATTGTAAATTAATAGAATAATGTATATGTTTTTATTTGTTTCCGTGTACATGGAGTTAGTTCTGCATTATTGACTTTGTTCTTGTTTTATTTCACATCTCTTCTTTTTGTTCTACATACATTTTTACCGGTATTTGATGCGTGTTGAAATTTCGATCAGCATCCTCCTCACTATTATGTCATCATTAGCTAGCTAGGTGTGTTTATCACATATACCTATTTCTGCTTTCCTTTTCTCTTACTGTGTTTCCATTTTTTTGGAATTCACGTCTTGAGGAGTGATTTATATGTGGTTGAATATGTATGTAGTGCATATGACCAGAGTGTGACCGATATAGCTTTTCTCTTGTTGCTATTGCTGTTGCTCCTTCTTTTTGTCTTCCCCTGTACTTACTACTAATCCTCCTCCTGTCACTGCTATCACCTCGTGTTCCACTGCAATCACTATGTCTACCTAATTTATAGGTAAACTGTTTCTTTATTTGTTTGAATTGTTTGACAGAGTGCATATATCTATTGTTTTTGGTTTTGTGTGCTCGGCATATCTGTCTAGTTTATTTAGCTTAGTTTCAGTTGTGTATTATTTGTGTGTATGCCTTTTATTGAGTAGTTAAAATTTGTGCACGTATTTGAATTGTCAACCTTTCTCTACAAACTGCATGCAGTTTTTTTTCCATTTCTTTTCTGATCAGATAGCCGTTTATATGTATATATGTTGTAGTGGTATTTTATTATTATTATTATTGTTCCCTTAGGTTCCTAGTGGAACATAGGGCTTCAACTGCACGTCTCCACTTGCTTCTGTCTTCTGCTGTACTTTTCACCTGCATCCATGTTAGTTCATACTGTTTCAACTCCTCTTCATGTACATGGAGTTAGTTCTGCAGTAGTGAGTTCTGTAGTGGTATTTACTGGTGTTGAATTGTAACATGAGATTGCATTAATGATAATAATAATAATAGTGGATAGAAAAAAGATGTTTCTACTAATGCATGTCCAGTGATGTATACATATAGGTATATATACACACATCATGCATGTCTTGGTTTCATGTAACGATGAGGTGCCTTTCTTATTTGACTTGTTTAAGAAAAACTGAATAGGTTGTAGACATTAGTAGTATTGACTGTTACACAAATGCGATTGGAAATGAATTGTCCATGAAAAATAGTCAACTTCTTTCTGTAATTTCATTTCAGTTTTTTCGAAACAGTTAGGGTTCCATTTATGAACTTCGACAACACAAATAAGAAGACGTAATTTATCTGAAACATGTGTGCATTGTGTACTTTATGTAACGTATTGCGAACATTCTGATCACACTCCCCCCCCCCTTACTCACACACTTGTATTTGTCATACAGTTTCAAATAAAAGGCAACAGAGCATAAAGGATGATAATTTTTATCAATTTAGGTGAAAATGTTTACACTTCATGATCACAGAACACAAACGTAGCAAAATGAGGATATGAGGCTTGGTTTTAAAATTGGATTACTAAGGCAAGTTCAAAGGAACACCAGACACTTTATGATTAAGGCTTTAACGAATTGCTAAGTGAACTAATGGAATCATCTGATCCCACTAATCACGGAAATAGATGCCCAATATCATCTGCCTTAAAGCACATCGTAAAGTTGATTTGAGTGGCTTCCTTAAACTCGCATATATGTACACATATCTATATAAGTCATATATCTAAATTCCTTGAAGCCTTAACTATGCGAAAGGTTGAATTAGTTTTGTGTTCAAAGATTATTTGTCATTACTCTGAACCTGTCTTAGTAATCAAATTTTAAAGTCAAGGTCTATTTTACTTAATCATAGTTTTATCACCTATTTTCGTATCTCATTCTCCTACTTCTTATCTATGATCTTGACCCGTAAACATTTTGATTCAATTTTGTTCCTATATGGTCAGTTTGTCGAGTGTGTAATTAGAAAGTTTGGATGAATACTACATTTCACGTTTCAGCTATGTGACATCGTTATTTGTTTTCGTTGGATTTTAAGCATACATTATCTTAAACATTTCAATTTCATAATAGTGGTGGTCTGTTAGAACAAAGTAGCTGCAAAACAGGGAGAAATTCAATAAACTGTTGTGCAGCTTTTACTTTTGTTTTTTTGCATCTATTCAGTAGTGTGTTCACTCTTGCTGTGCATCTCAAGGAGATGGCAATTAAAAGTTACTTCAGCTTTTGAGCAAGGCTGAGATTTACTAGTGGTCTGTTTTTTTTTCTCCTAAACATTTTATTCTCATTAGTGTGATATTCACTTCATAATGTGTATAGCCCTTAGTGTCTTCTCGTCATCTTGTGTGCGTTTTTCAAACGATAAAGTTTTGTAACTTCTTAACGTTATATCTAAAAGTCAGAAAACATTTTTTGTGTAAATCTGGGAGTATTTATGCGTGTTATTGTTATGCTCATGGTCAACTTAATATTTATTGATGACAAATCAGTTGTGTAAATGTGTAAATATCCTGTAGTAATAACTTTGTCAGAAATAATATATACTCTGTGTTTTTGACTGCTACATAGATTTAGTAATTTCAGTTCGTTTTTTGTGCATAATCACGGTAATACGCACTACTTGTGTGTATGTACGACACGATACACCAATTCATCAATCTCCGTGTTCTTTCTGTCACTTTTATATAAGTCATTCAAATGTCCATCTCTTAGTCTGTAAGAATTCGATTGGTTTCAATTCTGATGTTATTTAGAGGGTCATTGAAAGCCAGGAAATGCTGGACAGCTGTTTCATCTCAGTTCGAACCTCATCAGTACTCACTCGTGACCTCGTCGAATAGGGATCGGACCCAAGACCTTCAGGTTACAAGGTGAGCTTATTGATCATTCAGCCACTGGGACTGGAATCCAGTTCCCCATGAATCCTAACTTCTGACCACGGTGATCTCGTAGGTGCCTACTGCTAAAGGTTCCCAAACACATTAGTCATACAGTGCACCTCGGCTTCCAATGATTCTCTAACTACTATTAATCCGTAATCAAAATTGAAATGTCTATGTCTAAGATTCTCAGCCTGTCTAATCCCTTTTGGAATTAGTTAACACATTTAGTTGATATTTCAGTCGTTTTGTTTTTATAATTTTTGAATCATTATAAATTTCCTCTGTTGTCTAGTCTTTCAGTCATTTAGTTTTGTTGCTTTCTTATTTATCACACATCCTCATCAACTGTGTTTGTTAATGGGAGTCTAAAAACACGTCACACTTAACTGTTACCTCAAAATAGCTTCAACATTGATGTCTTATATTCTGTATGTTAAGAAGTATTTTTATGCGTTAGTGTAAAGGACTTAAATCTCTGTAGATGCTTGGTGTGTCCAAATTCTAGTTTATTTCATAATCTCAATTTTTCCTGAATGACTTAGCAACATGTCATATAACTGTCAGTCAGCCAGTCAGTAACATCAATTAGTTAGATCCTGGAAATCAAGTGTTTGTTCATTCTTTATACTGAGCTGAAGTATACTGTTTAAATGGTTCACGAGTGATTTCAGCGTTAAAATGAATTCTCTTCTCATTAGGAAAACAATTGTGATAGGACCTTTGTCAATCGTTTCATACTGAAAAAATTATAATGGTATTATGATAACATTCAGAATCAAAGTTGACCTTAAGGGATATTGTTATCCTTTAGAAGTTGACAGTAAGGCAAAAACCTATCGTGTGAGGGCTAGTGATACTCAAATCGTGGTGTGTGCAGCGGGGTTGAAACTCCTGACCTTCTGGTTTAGACACAACTCCACACCCCGATTATTATTATTATTATTCACTTGGGTTCTTAGTCGAATATAGGACAGTACATTTCCATTTCATCCTGTTCTCTGCAGTTGTCTTCAGCTAACTTCACGATTATCCATAGGCTGTCATCTCCTCCATGTTACCCTTGAATATACGTCTAACTCGTCATTTCTCATTGGCTTTCCACTCGAGCGCTGACCTGGCGCATGATGTCACTCAACGGTCTCCTCATCGTGTGTTGGATCCATCTCCATCTCCTTCGGTATATTTGTTGGGCGGTAGGTTGTTGGTTGGTTCATTCCCAGAGTTAATTGTTGCTAATCGTTCCTGTCCATCTGATCCTCAGTACGGAGTAAAGACAGCTTTTGATAACACCTGTTCAAAATTTCCACACCTTGAAATTTATAGTAACTAATAACTGCTTGGAGTAAGGCTTTTATAAAAGCCACCTAGATTTGCTCTCACTTGGTTATCTTAACTTCCAAGTAACATCTATTTATTCAGAACAAAATATTTAGAGTGAACAATTGTTTTCAATAAATTCTTCTTCAGGCTCTACAATTATAAATCCATTAATTTAAGCATACAATAGACAGGAAAGGCAAATTAGAATCATATCAGAAAGTGTATTGTGGAACAAATATAAGATGGGATGGAACAATAGCCAACAAATCCTCCATTAACACTATAAATTCCTTTCACAATTTTCTTTTCTTCTTCTTCTTCTATTCCTCTGTTTCATTGACAATCGTTCATTTTCGAATTTTATGATTTCATGACCTTTCTTATGATTTCATTACCTTAGGTTTAAGTAGTGCTTTTCTAGCTTGTCATCATATTTACAAAATCCTGTTCATTCCACTTCATTATATTCATATTATTATTATTATTATTATTATTATTATTATTATTTGACAGTCATTCACCAATAGTGCATGTAATTTTACACCATATCATCGTTATTATTTTACAGTCATTCTTATTGTCGTTATTTTCAACCTTGAACTTATGTCTAGTCTGCCCCATTCGTTGGTTTATTTTCATATTGTCTCACACACCCTGATTACACACACTCTCGAAACCTGTATTTTCTGTTGACTATATTTATATAAATATATACACACATGATTAAATTAAATTACTTCATCTCATTTTGTCCCATGTTCTCATTGACCTTGCATATTCAAAACTAACTGACTACTGTTCTATCCCATCTTACTTATACTTGTTCCACAATACACTTTCTGATATGATTCTAATTTGCCTTTCCTGTCTATTGTATGCTTAAATTAATGGATTTATAATTGTAGAGCCTGAAGAAGAATTTATTGAAAACAATTGTTCACTCTAAATATTTTGTTCTGAATAAATTATGGGAATATTCAATTTAATTAACATCTATTTGGTTGTTCTTTTCATTTTCTGCATCTTTATTATTATCTCGTTTTTGTTGCAATAGTAACAAGGATGGTACTTCATGCAATTGTAACTATTTAGAATAGAGATTACCTCTAAATCCTCTGAAAGTCAGTCGAAAAATGATCTAAGTGTGTGTGTGTACTTCACACATATATTAAGCTTCCAACTCCTCTAATATTTTATTTATGTACCAGTTACCGTATATAATCACTTCTGAAAACAGTTTCTGTTGATTTTCGATTGTTTTGTTATTCATAATTCAACAAATCTTTGCAGATTTTGTGTTAGGTAGTGTGCTATACGCGTTTTTTTGTTGACTCAGTATTCAAATGCTACAGTATGGGTTTTATGCATCCAGCATTCTATGAACTCTCATAGTATACCTTTGTACACTTTTGATCTATCTGCCTATCTCCTTTGGAATTCAATTCTAACCAGTCGTAGGACTTTTGGCTCATTGGCTTAGGCGCTTGATTTCCAAACATTGGGTGGTTCATGGGTTCAAACCTCGCTCCACTTACCGAGCTAGATTTGGACAGTAACCAGGTAGTAAGTGTCACTGGCCCTCACACAAAATATTAGTGTTTGTGTGCATGGAATAGCAAGTGGTTCATATGAACTGTGATCAGCACTTGACCGAATAGTTCCAAAATAATTAGGTGCCGAGTGAGAAGTAGACATATGTAAAAATTACATTTGTAAAATCTCAATGAAATCGAAATTAGTAATCCCAACGTTTCATTCGTCAAATTCGTTTGAACTTCTTCAGGGAAATTAATCGAAATTAAATTAACAGAGGTTTATGTGTAAAAAAAATCTCTTGTTTTTAAAAATTTTGTCCAATTATAGGCATGAAACAGGCATCAAAATATAATAATTGTATGCGGTATATACACATATATATCTTTCATACTCAGTTCTCTACGACCATTAACTTTGGTCTAACGTAATCACTAAAAATCTGATGAAGAATTATGCAGTGTTTAACAAAAGTAGACTAATATTTATAAGTCTGAGGTCAAATTTTGATCACAATTCATACAGTTTTGTTCATTATATTTTAATGTCTGTTTCATGACTCATGTGGTTAGACAAAGTTTTTAAAAACAAGAGATGCCTTGTAACCGGAAGCTCTTGGGTTCGAACCCCAGTGAGTGGTGCGTACTGCCGATGATCCCCAAACTAGGAGGAAACAGCTGTCCAGTACTCCCTGGTTTTCAATGGTTCTCTAACTGATATCAATCCGTGATGAAATTCAAAAAACAAATCAAATCCTTACATATAAACCTCTGTCTGAAGAAGTTCAGATCACTTTGCCGAACGAAACGTTGGAATCAGTCATTTCAATTTCGCTGAGATTTTGCAAATATAATTTTTACAATAGCAAGTAGTTGTTTAGTAACACTAACAGAAAAAAAATTTCTAAGCAATCGAAATATATGTAATAGAGGTTTACATTTTAAAGTAACTTAAGGGATGGTGACTAGCAGTGGGATGGAGGATGCACATTTCGTCCTGTTTAGGACTCGTCAGTCAGGTGTGTCTGCCTTCCCCATTGAATAATGCTGTTCCTACTGATACTCGAACTCTGTCCCTTTCATTTCAAATGCCGACATGGTTATCTCGCTTTAGGGAATTCAGGTACATCCAGTTGACACGTGTCCCAAGTAGGACGAAATTCGCATCCTGGATTTCACTGCTGATCACCATCGATGAAATTACATCAAGTTTATCCTCAGACATTGTCGAAGTGTTGTGTACTAGGAGCCGACATGTTAACAAAAATCAAATATTTCGGTCCAATTAATCAATGGGAAAATCAAAATTGACTTAACAACAAATATTAAACGATTTTTATTATTGCATGTATTCGATTTGCTCTAAAAACAGAGAATAAAGCGAATAGCTTTCATTTATTTGTTAAACAACACAGTAGGTAGACAAGTATTTTAGTTCTGATTCTCCCACCCCGCCTCACAGCATTTTAGATCAGATTTTATGTTGTTGAATAAATTACTCTTCGATACAATTTGTGATAATTTATTTGAACGAGTTCTCCTTTTTTCATATTCTTTTCATCGCTTGATTTTCATATAGTTAGCTGTTTGTAATCTTGTTGTTCACTGTGTGTTGTAGATTATATCATTTCCGATTTTGTTGTCTGTGTTGCTGTTTTTGTTAGCGGGTTTTGTCGGTATTGTGTTCATATTTTGCTAAATGTCATTGATGATTTGTCGTACTAATATCTAATATTTTTTACCGTTTTGGCTTTTCCCAAAACTTTGCTTGAAGCTGTGAGTGTGATTCCCTTTTTATTGATTGCTTTATATATTATTATTTTTTGATTTTCTTTTCTTCAGGAGCAACCACGAGGTGGTGCAATGTCCTTTGCTGCACCAACACCACTACAGAGTAATGTGACAAGCACTACGGTTGGGACAGTATCTAATCTACCGAATAATATTTACAAAGATGATACTGATTATACATACGATTTAGTCTATGCCCAGTCACCGAATGAATTGCCCGGAAGTGGAGATCCAATCCCCGATGGTAATAATTTACAATATATGGAACTGTCATTTGATCATGTTCGTCCTGGTCAGAATGCTGCTACACTGGGTCCAAGGAAAGGAGGACGTGTTGGTACTTCACTATCTGGTGGCGGTGTAGGCACCTCGTCAATGACTCTTTTCGGCACTGGTACACAGTCAGCTGGATGTGGATATCCACGACCAATGGTCGCCTCTGTACCACAAGGTTTAAATATCGCCAGTGTGGTGGTGGTGGTGGTGGTGATATTGGAGATGGTTACTCCTCGACTCTGCCGACTGATCCAATGCTGTTGCCTAGAGATGAATCATCGCATTACACTGAAATAGTTGGTTTTATGCAACCGAAAGCTTATGCATCTCAGTTGGTTCTTCAACAGCAACAAGAAGCCACACAGGCGCTGTTAGCTATGCAACAGAATAAACCTCGTGTATTTGTTTGATGCATTCATTGGATTGATTGATAATCAGATGGTAGTTCCTATCCTTTGTCTGTCAGTGAGTTAGTCAGTATCTATGCACTATCTTGCTGTTAGGGTATTTATTTACTGCTGCACTGCAAACCACATACATTCCTGTAATAATCTTTTTTTTTCTTCGAATTTCTTTCTATCTGCCTATATCTCCCTTTAACACTTTTATGTGATATATCGCTTAAATTGAAGTTGTTTCGTGCAATCCTTTGAAGGCTATTTCTTCTTTTGTTTTTATACTTTATCAAAACCAATTAATAAACGTGTATTATATATATATATATATATATATATATATATATAATGTTAAGTGTCGATTCATCCTCCTTTATCAAGTATTATTATGATTATTACTATTGTTATTTATCAATTTTTGGCCAGTTTCAATTGTATTTCGGCCTCTTGTCTTTTCTCTTTTTTTTAATGAAGTATTGTTATTATTTATTTGACAACATAACTGAACTAGTCTCAAAACACCTTCTCGTTTCTCTCTGTCTGTGTGTGTTCTGCTTTACTAACCGGTTCTTTGTGTCGAAACAGTCAGTCAGTCAGTTATCAATTATCTTTTAATTATATACATCTGTATGCTTGTATGTATGTGTGTATCTCACAAGAATTGATGATCATGTATTATGATTTTATATGGTTCTCAAATTTTCCTCTTTAGTTGTTTTTTTAAAATTATTATTATCTTTTTTGTGTTTTTGTCATTTTATTGTTATTATATTTATTACAAATAATTGGGATTTGTCTTGTCAATGAATCATGATCCGATCTGATACTTTTTGTAGATATACATATAATTGCTTGGCTTGCATTACTGTCAATACTGTTATTGCCATTAGTCTGGGGTTATCACAATTAGATATTTACTTGTTATTCAGTATGACTGTATCCTTTTGATTTTCTTTTGTTAGCTCCTATAAACTTCCATCTGTCTAGTGTATGCTGTTTTATATTCTGTGTTCATCAGAGAATTGAGGTGATTGCCTCATCATCTCTGAGCGTTTTTTTCTATTACTGTGAGTGTACCATACAGATAGATGTACTATAAGATTGTTTTTGCCTCTGTTTTATCTTCTTCTGCTGCTGTTGTTGTCTCCAAAAATGAATTCTTTAAACACTTAAAGTCCATCCATTGTTTGTTTCCCCCCCCCCCCTCCTCTTCATTCTCTCCCAAAGATCGTCATACACCAACCACCACCATATTCAACCACATTCATTCTCTTCATTGTCTACAATCGTTTTTACCTTCCCTTTTTCTTTTCTTTTGATTGTTTGATTTTGAACTGTTGTTTATTTCATTCATCCTTACTCTTAGCTGTCCAATCAGCCTGTCATCCATCTATCAACTATCGAGATCACTCGTATTTGTCGACTTCTTTTAATAATTTCAATATAAATGATCAGTGTTAGAAGAACTTATTAATCTGTAACAATCTGATTATGAGCATTATTTAATATTTATAATTATTGTAATTGGTAATTTTTCATTTTTTTGTTTGTTTGTTTGTTCTTACCGAATCTAGTTCTCTTCATATTTACTGGTTTACTTTATTTATTTGATTTCAGGAAAACAATAAATAATATGAAAAAAAACCCAACAACTGTAATAGTAGTCGTGATATATAATGATGATAATAACAATAATAATAATAATAAATAATTATAATAATGATAGCTAGTATTTCTCTTTAAACTACCTATCCGATTACTGCTCTATCTCTCTGTCTCTCTCTCTTTCAGTTTTATGTATCTATCTGCTCGTGTTTATTTGTTTTTCAACATTACGCTTATGATGAATGAATAAATAAATAAATAATGATATTCTCGATTCAAGTGTTAGTATTACTATTACTGCTGTATTAATTTGAAGGGATTCGACTGATTACAGGGACTTTGTCCACGAACTGACATCAGTTACAGAAGGCGAGAAAATCATTGGAAAACCAGTAGGAGTCCAAGTAAATAGTCAGGTAAGAGAACAGTTACTCACTGACTGATGAAATTAGCTGGCGGTCGTCGTGTGTATATTATATATAAACTTGAACAAAACAAGAACGATATTTGTGTACCAGAGTAGTTTTATAAGCTCATCTTTTATTATTTCAAGGAATCTGCTCAACTGGCTATAGCCTGGAAAATACCAAAGTTACAACAGAGATTTGAACATACTTTTTTAACCTGATGATGACATAGAGGAATAAAGAGTAACATGAGAGTTGGATGAGTGATATTCAGATGAAATAATAATATTTTCTAAACAGGACAGAAGGTTACGTAGTAAGCTTGTATACTTTGTTATCATCAAGGTAGCGCAAGGTTCACTACTGTTATTTTCTACTCACACAGGTTTTGTTTTAATCGTTTGATGGTGATGAGCTCAGCAAAACGTAGCAAGCTAGGTTTCTTTTGCCTGTTGATCATTTTGAACACCTTTAGATTTTCCACAATACAACCAGTATCCAATAAACGGCGCGCATATCGCACTGTTTCATGCATGTAAGTCTTTTAGTCTTAGGTTTTTTTTGGTATGTATTCAGAAATACAGACTATAAATGTCTCTGTTCTTCTTATATATGTGCTCTGACGCGTACATGTAAATTGGTAGAAGTAAAATAAGGTGGAAGTCTGTCCACTTTTGGTTGTTTGTTTGACACATAAAAGCTTGGTGGATGGGTATGTTCCTTTCAGGGCAGCGTTTAGTCTGCATCCACTAGTTACTTAATCTATAATATTGTTATACTCTTTCTAGTTAAATTCTGTTTCTACCCAAAAGATTCTTGAGGTGTATCTTTTTGTTTCCAAGTATATTCGTTTAGTTATCTCATAAGTAGTCAGTCCTGTTAATTATTTAATGACTAACAACATTCTGGACTAATGTTACTCCTAATTCCTATCAATTACTTCATACTATTGTGGAAAAAAGTATATTCAAATCTATAATGTAGTTTGTAATTTTTTTAATGTTTAGATTGTAGCCAGTCGAGAAGAATCTTGATACAATTTTGTCGTTCTTCCTTTGTTCAAGTTTATATTGTATAAAATGCGCTGTATATATTGCGAATTAGCAGAAGATGAAATTTATGATTCATTGGATCAGATCCCAGTGACTGAATGGTTAATGAACTCACCTTGTAATCATGATGTCGTGAGTGCATACACAGATGAAGAGACCCAAACAACAAGGACTAAACAGCTGTCCAATAGTCCCTGGTGATTTCTCAATGGTTCTCTAACCAATATCAGTTTGTGGGGAAATACTGTAGATGGTGTTGTATGTATCCTAATATTTTGCCGTTGGTAGGCTTTGTCTGTTTGAAAATGATACATACATCAAATAGATACATTTGTGTGTGAATCATTAGAATCGATGATGATCGTCTTGCTCTTGCTGCTACTATTGCTGTTACTGGTATATGGGTAGAAATCACGAAACTGATGATCTTAACGTTTTCATATCAAACTATTTTTATAATCTCTTGTATTCTTTTTCTGTTGAAGGCGTTCTTGTAATTAGTAGATAACTCGGAAAGTCTTTGAGAGTTGTGGTGATTATCTTACACATCCAACAAGATCGATACGAAATTCCTCATGTCAATTCCCTCAATATGTTTCGTTTCCTTCTCTCAATATGTTCATCACACTTTCTCAAAAGGTTTTCTTTTTCTAATGCCCGTTTCCTCACTTACACACATATGCATACGCAGATAGACAGAAGCATTTAAAGATTTGGCAGGTGAACAAACAAACAAAAATTAAAGTGTAATTGATGTTATTGTCTCAATATGTATTGTGTTTGCTGTTTTGTTATTCAAATTAATACAGGCGTTTTGGATTTTCCCCAGAATAAACAGTTCAAAAAACACCTTCAGAAGAATATATGTTATCTCGAGACAGTTGACCACATTGTCTACAAACTTGTATTATGGACTTCATTCCTTTGGGTTCCGAATGCAGCAGGGGGCTTCAGGCTATGAGGTGTCGAAGTTTCAGTAGCAATGATACGGTGTTGCTTTCTACGAGGTTGGCATTTCTAGTCTTACTTCTAACCTCCCCCATTTTCCGGGTTTTGCTATGGGAAAATAAATAAAACGAGGATTAGGAGTGTGTCGACTAGGACCACTCGCGTCCGTGTGTGGTGAGCTTTCTTCCTTTGAATCAACGACGCATTTCATTGTGAATTTATTTATAGTATATTTGCAATGTAATGAGTCATGTGAAAGGTGAATACCACCTGTTTATGGCATTGGAAGTCATGAAGATGTAATACACATATGAATATAATGTACAATGCAAAGATTATTCTAGAGTAGAAGAACTGTTCATTTCACCAAATTATAATCTTCCAGTTGTAATCGTAATAGTTTAATTTTGAAATCTATGACTTCACTACGTACATGAGTGGGGAGTAGACATCGGTCTTCCACCTGTAACTGAGGTTGTGAAAGTTGTCTCTAATCTGATTGAATGAATTTCAGCATAGGAGTAACTTTGCACGAAAGTGCAGCAGTTCAAACAGGCGTAGAGCAAAGAAAGAAACCCTAAAAAAATATAAGGAGCAGTAATATACTCTCTAGTCGGAATCTAGGCTAAGTAGGAGGACCTGATGGAATAACTACAACGGTGTTTAAGACTGGCGCTAATGAATTATGCTTTGAGTTAACTAACATATTAGTCAATGTTTGGGGATCAGAGATAGTCTCTCTACATTGGTGTAAATCACTAATTAGCCCATAAGGTAAAGCTTCAGACCAGGAATATGGTGTATATATCATATTTCCACCCTTAAACATATCCTGCAATATATGCACAATTACGGGCACCCAGTACTTGCCACATTTCCTGATTTGAAGGTGGCATTTAACAGTTTTGAACAAGAGATATAGTTATATCTAACCGCGGAGTGCCGAGAAAGTATTTTGCAGTTGTGATGAAAGATAGCTGCTAGCCAAATTGCTAGACAGTAATTGACGTCAATGTTTATGTCTCAAATATTAGTCATGTGAAAACAAGATCAAAGATGGACAGCAGACTTTGCGTAGGCAGATACAATTAGCAGATAGATGATCTGACACTCAAGAGACAGCAGCAAAGAGATGAAAGATTAACTTTTAGTGAGAAACAACCAATCAGAAACTGTGTTTGTCAGCTAACAATAATCTATAATAATGTACACGAAAATCTATAAATATGTGTTGATTTCCATAATAAACAATCTGTTACCTGAGTCTTACCTTCTGTCGTTACACAGTAATCAGCACACCAGTCGAAATCATATGGTCACGTAAAA